GTATTTCAAACTTTTTAAATATTTTTAAAATGCTTATTAAAATGTTTTTTAATATTTTAAAAATTTTTAAAAATATATTTCTATATTTTTAAATATGGATAGGGGGAAAGAAGGTACTTTGTGTTGTAAGTTTTATTTAAAAAATCGTTTTCATTTATTTCCAAAAAGAAGCTGTACAATAGAATTTAAAATGTGAACTACTTCTGCAAAATAATTAACACAATTTTGATGAAAAAAAGAGATCTATACAAAATAAAATTTATTTCTATTTCTTCTGAGTAAAAATATATGGCAAGATGAATTTAAATGGAAAAAAAATTAGTGGTATTCTTCATTTGACTGTGTTGGATTTATCTGGAGGGAGGTAGAATTAGGAAGGCATTTTAAATTGTGCTCTATAATGCATCCAATTTTGCATTACACCAGTAAGATATTATTCTTTATGTTTCTAGGAAAGATGGATCAAAAGAACCAATAGTGGAGATGAGAACAGAGGATGAAAGAATTACTAACCATGAAGATGGGAGCCCTGTGAATGAACCAAATGAAACCACGCCACTGACAGAACCAGAGTATGTAGCTTGAAATGCTTATTTATTTCTGGATCAGGATCTGTAAAATGATGAGGCATGATAATTATTTTATATTATGTATCTGCAAAAATCATCATTATTTGTGAAAGAATTATGTTGTTTCTTTTTCAATGAAAGTACATGTGGATATCTAAAGTCTATTTTCTACTGAGACATTTCACATGAAAATTTTGTTACCAATACCAGAGAAAGTCCACTGTTAACCCATATAATGTTATTCAAAAATAACAAGAAGACGGAAGTATATTACAGAGTTGGATTTTTCAAGACTAATCTTATTTTTTAAGAAAGTGATACTTTCAAAATGCAATTGATTTTTACTGACATAAAGATGGGTCAGAAAATTAGTCATAACTTATGAATATGATAGTGAAGTACACCCAAAACTATATATAAAGAGAAAAAAAAAGTACAAAAAAGAGGAGGAAGTACTACTAAACTGTCAATCCTTTATAGTCTATGGGGTAAATGATATTTGGTCTCCATTAAATACTATGCGATTTATTTCTACATATCTAATACCTCTGTTGAAACTATAATACATATTTCCTCTAAACCTGCAAGGATAAACATGTGCCTAGACTTAGGCACATGAAAATTAAAATTATTCAAACCAAAGGCATTATTAAGAAGTAGTAAGATCACAGTTGAAGATAATTTTTTTTTCAAAAATCTCCTCCATCTGCTATGAAGGGGCCGAAATATTTAATATTTAGGCAAATACAAAGTATTATTCCATAGCTAAAATTTTAGTATAAATCTTCAGGCCAGGGGATTGCATTTACAGATTATTACATTCTAAGTTGACGTTGACTGTATTAGAGGTAGATTCTACAATCTCTCCTTCAGAAACCAGAAGTTTCTGTGAGTAAGAGATATATTGAGCATTATCCTGACCACCCATCAGAGCTCTAAATTTCTCTATGTTTAGATGCTACAAGTGACCCATTGTTTTTATAATCTTCTATTGTCAATATTTTCAGTACTTGGAAATTAGAGAAAGGGAGAGTGGTGAATGCACCATTTATAACATACATTAAAGAGCCTGCCCTAGTAGGTGCAATGCTACTTCATTCCCAGCAGTAGATGTTATTAGTTTTTGCCTGACCTACTTTTGATTGAACAGTTTTGATGGCTTTGATCTTCAGAATATAAGGGCTTACCCTTCGTATTCAAAAATATAAAATAAATTACATATAAATCCCAGAAGAACTAGCAGAGTAACATTCACTCCTGCATAAAATGGAGAAGTAAAAGTCAGAGGTGAATTGGAACTCTATCTGTAACTTAATTCTCTTGAGGTGGAAAAACCATTTTGTCCAGGGAGGAAAAAAAGTCATTACACAAGATGTAATAATAAACTATTGAATTTGAGAATGTTAGGAAAAACTGGAAGGCGTGATCCATTGGCATCACCATTAAGATTTATGAAATTTTTTAAAAATATTAAGAAATAAAGGTTGTTATTGCTTTACACTCAGGTACAATTGAAAACAACTCAGAAAATGTGTTCAGAAGTGACATAAAAGTGACAAGAAAAAAATAATAGTGAAAGGAGTCCAACGAAAATATATATGGTGGATATAAAAAAGTGAAAAAGTCCTGAAATATATTCGTTTGCATTAAGTTCTGAAGAATATTGCTAATTCACCCAGTTTCTGAATTTTATGTATCAGAATATGGCCCTAACTAGAAACTGTTTTTATATGAAAAACTTGAGTACTAATAAATCATGTAGTTGATATATAAAAATGTTTTGGCTTTTTAAATTTCAAAACATTTAATTATATTTTTAATATCGAGAACTTAAATCTAATCACCCTATAATGAACAATTTGATGCATCTAAATCTGCAAATGTAGTTTCATTTATGATTTTGCATTACTTTACATTTTTACAATAAACAATGTTGTTTATTCTCTTTTATATTATTTTCTATTAATTTAATATTTAACAAATTTGATTTTTATTCTTTCTAATAATTGT